ACTGTGAGAGACTATTCAAACAATGAAACTCCAGAAAGACAACAACAAAAATGAATTCGGACCGAAAGCCTAACAGGCCTATATCGCAATAGTTCTGGCAAACTTTGCCAAGAAATTGCGACACTTGTACAGCTAAGCTTGATCGTTCTGTTACAAAACATAATTTTAATTTATATTCAGCCCGCCTGTAAATACGCAGTTTAAGAAATATTATCATCCTATGTTGATTTTGACTTAGCTTATTTCAAAACAAGGTTTTATTAGTTGGTTTCAGTTGCCTCAATGGGTCGAGTTATGTAGAGATATTGAAATTCGAGAAGAAAGAGGAATAAAATAAACATTCCATAGAAGCAAATGCAGTGATTATTACAACTCATGATGTTAACCATGTGAGCTAGCTCCTATGAAACGAAATATTGTTTTGTTTCTTTAATTAAAACCAGCATAACCTTCAGGTTATTATGTACTGTAAAGAAGTCACGAGAATTGTTTGATGTAATAACTGACAGTTCAATTATATATTTAGAATTTTCTCGACATCTACGATTATATGTTGTGAGTACATTTTAGATTACATGCTACTCAGTTTGTAAATATTGAATACTGAAAATAAGATGGCCCAATTTGTTACAGGGTTTCAATTAAACCCACGTGATGGGTGCTTGACCAATAGGAATGTATTTAGCTTTCCTAAGGATTTTATGACAAGGATTAGCTTTTAATTCAAAAGAAGAAAAAAATGTTGGTAAATTTTTAACTCAATTATCAAGATACATACTACATATTTGTGTACATTTCCTTCAACTGTCCAAGAAAATTTGACACAATTTCCAAAAAAATCTCGAGATAATTTAAAAACTGTTTTAATATGTCAAGGAGAGTCAAATTCAAAATTAATTTAGTTGATTAATCTGTCCGAGACATTTTTAATTGCTGTAAACCTGCCTGTAAATGCACAATTTCTCCAAATGGGATAATTCTCTGTTGATTTGACTTAGCTCATTTCAAACTTAGTTTTATTAATTGATTTCTGCTGCTTCATTGAATGGGTTGGTATATTTTAAGAAACTTGATCAAAAACATTACATGAAAACAAATCATGTGATAATTACGACTCATGATAATCATACAGACGAAATCCTACAGTGACAAAAAACGGCTTGGGGAAGTTTTAGCTCTTGTTTTCATATTTGCATTGTCGCCAAAATACATGTAACACTCGAGTTATCATGAACAGAAATTACGAGAATTGTTTTATCTTTTAACTAATAATCCAATACATTTATGTATGATCTCGACATCAACGATATGTTTTGAGAAGATTTTAGTTCATATAGATTTCATTAGATAAAGTATGTAAATAGTGAATACTGAAATATACGTATGATGCTAACCTGATTTTTATCAAAGGGGTACATTCAAGCAACGTGATCGGTTCTTGGCCAATAGGAATGTTTTCACTGTCCTAGCTAGGTATTTCATGACAAAGTTCCCAATTGGAAAGGAAAATAGTGTTTTTAAAATAATCAAATGCTACACCTATAGCTTATTTAACTGTGGTGCATGTTTTGTATGCAGGCTTGTACTTTGCATTTGTGTATGTGTAAGGTCGATACACAGGGCTTCACGATACCAGTACGCGAATGCAATGGACTTTGTGCAAACAGAAGCAGTCACACAAGCCTGACACGGGATGATACTAATAAATACACTTGAGTGCCAATTGAACGAAGTCCAAAAGATCGACCGCGCAATCGAGTACCGTACACTCGTCTACAATGCACTACACTATACTTGTTTGTTTGTATATTTTGGCTAAAAAAAAATTGTTTATTTTCAATAAAGCGGGGATTTATTCAAACTAATCAATGATGTGCTAACTGTATGTTGTGTTCAACTTTTTAAATGACTTACAGGAGGTAGGCGTTACTCATTTAGCAGACAACACTCTAACTGTTTGGACATTTTTTAATGACATTTAACATTTCATTTCCTAATTAAATAGTCCTGTTATTGAAACTGTATTTGAATTTGATGGGGGAGTTTTGAAATGGCAAAGAAGCGTGTTTTTTTATCTAATTGAATTTATTTTGTGTATTTTTGGCAATACAAATCTATTCAATTTAAAATGGGGAATGGGAGGAAAAGTTGTCCCATAATAGGTTTAAGAGTAATTATTCAGCAAACGTAATTTGAATTATCAACCCCCCCCCCCCCTCAGGTGATTCAGGCGGGTATATTTTGGAGGACTCGAGTCAGTTTATTTGTTTATTTTTTGTTTGACTTGTGACTGGCATCAGACTCGTTATACCATTTGGACTCGGTTTGAGTCGGACTCGGCTTGTGACTGATTCGGACTATGTTCAACTCGAATCGAGTCCATTTCCAAAACAAAAACGTGTTTAAACTTGAGGACAAAGTTTAATGAATTTGTTAATGTATTTGTTTACATTTTTCTTATCATATTCTAATGAAAACGGCCCCTTTGAGTGGTGTGGAATAATGCTGTGTTTCTCTGAGCGATCACCTCGTTTGAATTTTGACAGGTCATTTTTGTTTGTCTGCATTCTCTGTGTTTTATTGCTTAGCAGGAAATACACTCTTTGGGAAAACACAGTTTGAAATTACAAAGAATTCAGGTAATTGCAGATTAAACAATACGAAACAGTTATGACAGCACGTACCGCGCCCTAATTGTATTTGCCGTAAAAGGAGGAGCCATGGACTGCGTGGAGAGTTAAAACACTAGATGAGCTGTCAAAAAATGATAAAAGATACATTAAAATTCCTGGAATCAGGTTGAAAGTTTGATTTTACATTTTAATTCCGTATTCGATGTCATGTCGATCCCTGAACAATACATGTATTATATTTTATATATCAGACTCATAATTAAAATTATGAGCCTGATATAGTACATGACAAAGCATGAGTCAAGAAGTTGCTTCTGGCAAAAACAAAACAAAAGCAATATGCAACAGCAAAATCTCAAACTTGCCAAACAGTCTTTCAGTTTTGAATATAAAATGAAGCAATTTGGACGTCTGACAGGATTGGTGAGATACGAACCTACGAAACAAGTGACTATAGGTTTCTCCTCAAAAGCAGCAAATGTGGAGGGTCTTCTTGCAATTTCGAAAAGAAAGTTATTAAAAGCACTGGCCGGGTTTCCATTGTACATTTGCAATGGTGAGTGTGAATCATCTCCGAATCTCCGTCCACGTTCTGCCCTAGATGTGGCAACATAAAACAAACAAGTTGCAAACAAATTGAATTTGAATGATGATGAGATATCCAAATTCTGCACATTAATAAGAACTGACAAGTCAATTTTCTATGAGCTTTAATCCAAGAGAGGTCATCATACAGCCACTTGCCAGATGGTCAGTCTCATCAGAGCTCTGCAAACAGTGAATTAAGTCAAAGGCAACTGCATGGTTTCATGGGGATATCACTTTTCTTTCTGTTTTGTGTGATTCATCGCAAATAGACTTTTCATAGAGAATGACTCGGAGAATAATTTAAATCTTTAAAACATCCGTGATTCATATGAGAAATGCAGTTTCCGACACAATTATATTGGGAAAGATTCGGCGATTAATGCAGTTTAGAAGTTATAAAAAATGAAGAAAAAAAGTAAAGGGGCCGCTATCCCATTTCCGGTGTCACGGTCTCACTTCTCCGGCGTGCTAGCTTCTCCAAGTTGGAAATTTCGCTACAACACGCATGCACAAAATTGCGCAGTAGTGTTCACTTTCGCCAATTTTATGTGTGTGCTGAGTTCTTTGGGGTTGTACTGGTGCACGTAGGAAGTTAGGATGTTTGTATGTATACGTCACAGGGTACCATCGAATCCAGACGAGGCATGGTGGGGCGCGCAATTAACTCCCAACATCCTAATAACCAAAAAGACTTGAAGGATGCACATTTATTTTAATACGTGGTTGAACGTGGTTACAAATTTGACATCATCGTGTGATGGGCCACGACCGAGCAAGGAACACATTTCTTAATAATTCCCCAACGCACACGCAATGACGATGGGAACACAACTTCAGAATGCCTGCAATATGAATGGACCAACTGGAAGTGTTACATAACGCATTCTTGGGTGTCCGCATAGAGCTGTATAATAAAGCTATATGGGTGTCCGTCACTAGTATAGTATGGGCCGGTAGACTTTACAATAACACATCCAGAGGAAAAGTTAGCACAGCGGAAACGTGAGCATGAATAGTGCTTATGTAACGTGCACTGTAACGTGCTAATTTATCCGCCGAATCCACCCGGAGAAGCTAGCACGCCGGAGAAGTGAGACCGTGACACCGGCAATGAGCGGCGGTAACTATTAAGAAAAATGAAAAAGAAAATGGAAGCTTCTCGCGGGATCCTATACCGCCCTCACATCAGGAATCAGGCTCATTTAGACATCCTCAATAGGAAGTGTTTGTTTTTTAAAGGCCGTAGGTACTTTCTAAACCTCCCCAACCCATACATCCCCACGGCCCCACCCCCCTTCAAAAACAATGAATGCATGGAGATTTTTTTTTTAAATACCAAAAAAATGTAAAATGGAAATTAAACATATATATACCTATCTAATGCAGCTTTTTTTATGAGATGGGAAAATATGAGTGCACTGCCAAACAAAAAGGCCATCCCTTTGTTTTGGAAAACAAGGAAACATTATGTGAACCCGTGCAAATTACCCCCTCAACGGTTGCAAAGAGAGAGTTGATGGGCAGACAACTTGAAAATACATTCAAATGTACTGGCGATGACGCTTGATGAAGCCCTTGGTATTGGTTTATTTTGGGGGTTTTAAATTAATTTTAGATGCATTTTTTTGGTCCAGATTCAGAGTAAGTAAAAGTTCGAACAGATGGTCACGTGTTTCCTACCTCCATGGTCACGAACACAATCTATCTATACCATGCATGCATAGGAAAAGTTGCCGTGCTGTCCCTTGGAGGCGCTCTTCATATTACATTTCACTTCGACTTTTCTATTTCCGCGGTGATTGCTTCGAGCCTGAAATTTAACCAACCGAAAGATTCGCTTCTTTCGACTCAACAGAAACATCATTTTACCATCCAAACCGGGAACGTCGGATAAATGTGAGCACAATAATCTTTGTCTTCCTTAAATCCTGGAGAAGCATTTTGTTGTAAAATTCTGATGTGTTATTTTGCGTGTCTGTACGTTTGGGAATACATGTATGTGCATGTACATGTACATGTACATTTATGTAGGCCCTACATAGTACATGTACAACCATGACAAATGTACATGTACACGTACACGTACTGCGTGTACTCGTTTAATGGCTGTTACTATATAGATAGTGGATATTTTGCCGGAGGTAATGACGGCAAACTAACGTTTACTAAAGGTTTGCCGGCGGCAATCCATATCAACAGAGGGCGCTGTACTCTTTAAGATAGGGCTGAATTATGTATTAAACTCCCACCAAAAGTCGTGTAGCACGTTTGGTGTAGTGGTTAAGCAAAGGCTCTAGTAATCGGGATGACTCTGGTTCGATTCCGACCGCATCACTTTTTAAAGTTTTTTTTTCTCATCCCAAAATAAATAAGAATATTCTTCTTTTATATTATATTATATTAACATGTCTCAAACATTTTTTTTGGATAGTGGATATTTTGCCGGAGGTAATCGGTAATGACGGCAAACTAACGATTACTAAAGGTTTGCCGGCGGCAATCCATATCAACAGAGGGCGCTGTACTCTTTAAAATAGGGCTGAATTATAAGATGTTTTAAATTCCCACCAAAAGTTGTGTAGCACGTTTGGTGAAGTGGTTAAGCAAAGTGCTCTTGTAAGCTGGATGACTCCGACCGCGTTCGATTCCGACCGCGCCACATTTTTAAGTTTTTTTTTCTCATCCCCAAATAAATAAGAATATTCTTCTTTTATTATTTTAACATGTCTCAAAATTTTTTTGCAGAGTATTACCTTTTTCTTTTTCAGATTTGTGGCTCTGGAGGATTTTTTTTAAAAGAGAAATAAAGTCTGAAATTATAAAATGGTCTGAATCCCATCTTGTGAATATGAGGTAACAACGATAATTTTGGCATGGAGCCAGACTAAAACTTGTCACCGGAAAATGTTAGGGTACCAAAAAACAGTAACTGCGCATGATCAGTGCATATCCGGCAAACTAACGTTTACTAAAGGTTTGCCGTCTCCGGCAAAATATACACTGCCTTTTTTTTGCAGAGTATTACATTTTCTTTTTCAGATTTGTGGCTCTGGAGGATTTTTTTTAAAAGGGAAATAAAAATCCGAAATTATAAAATGGTCTGAATCCCATCTTGTGAAGACGAGGTTACAACGATAATTTTGGCATGGAGCCAGACTAAAATTTGTCACCGGAAAATGTTTAAGCACAAAAAAAACCAGTAACTGCGCATGTTCAGTGCATATCCGGCAAACTAACGTTTACTAAAGGTTTGCAGTCTCTGGCAAAATATCCACTGCCAAATCATAATGCGCCTATCAATTGTTTCCCCCACCCCTCCCCTCCCGGGCTACCCCATCCAAGGCGTGGGGCTTGTCACATTTGAAGTGACAAAATCCCCACCCCTCGGGCAAAATATAAGTGACAATCCCCGACCATGCCCCGACATACATACGTGGGCGCACTAGTGATTGCCTTTCCATGAGTACGCCAACGTCAACAATGTAATTTGAGTGACCATATCCCCACCCTGGGGCATGAAAAACGTGACCAAATCCTGACATCGGACCTCTGGGGCAGCGCGGGGTGGGAGGGGTGAGGAAACATTTGATAGGCGCACAATGTAAATGTATAGATGGCAATACTACGACTTGTCGTGTTATCTCAGAAAATATAATGGGAAAGAATGTCCATCTGTCCATGATAATTACAAAGTCCTTCGAGAGTGAATTTCCTTTTCAGGAAATCTTAGCATGCACGCCTAGTACTGTGTGGCTCTAAATACGAAGGAAGTCCAGGAGAAAAAAAATATTCATGGGCCACTATGGAGCATCTTACAACTATAACTTTGTACATGTACATATTGATGTTTTGCATTTAAAAATTTGATATAATGCTAAAGTGCAACATTAGTTGATAAAATCACTTTCAGATTTCTGCCTTCCCGGATTAACCATCAATACATGTATCACAAATCCAAGGGAGCATCACAAATAAAATAAAATATGTGATGTTTTGAAGGGGAGGTGCAGTTTATGGATAAGGATATGATTTTGCACTTGTTTCTTTTAATTAACATCTTGAGAGCCCTGCCCTGCACACATCGATTCATTTCGAATACAAAAACACATCCTGTCAATTACTAGTGGTCCCTACCCATAAAGGGAAACATACGAGTGATACATTTTTATCACTGTTATGTTTTAAATGACATATTTTTCTTCACATTTATTAGACAAAAATGGCGACTGGACCTGCAGTAAGTTCAGCTCTGGAGACGATCGGCAGACATCATCTTGAGTGCAGCATCTGCCAAGAGAGATACCAACAGCCTAAGATACTGGAATGCCTCCATAACTTTTGTGAGCAATGTCTGCTGAAATACTGCAGCACGAAGCACGAGGGCTCTACAGCGATTCCTTGCCCCGTGTGTCGGCAAGAGACGAAACTTCCCGAGGTGGGGGTGCAGGGTCTGAAAACAAACTTTCATTTGATTGGTCTGGTTGAGGAGCTTGAACTTCAGGAAAAGATAGTGGGATCGGGTGATGCCTGTCTTTTGTGTGATGTATGTGAGGGGGGCAACGAGGCAACGCAGCGATGTCTGGATTGTGGCCAGTATATGTGCTCAGTCTGCAGCAGAATGCATCTTCGATTCGCAGCAACATCAAACCACAAGGTAGCTCCATTGAAGGACATTCGTGAGGGAAAGGTTACAGTGACAAAGAAACACCAGAAACAACATCCGAAATGTCTTATTCATGAGGGCGAAGTGGCACGGTTCTTTTGTACCACTTGTGACATGCTGATCTGCCGAGATTGTACTGTCGTAAACCATTGTAAACCAGAACACTCCTACATTGAGAGGGACGAGGCAACATCGACATACAAGCAATCTTTGGTTCAACTGTTTCCTCCTCTTGAAAATACTATAACAGAACTCCAGAAATCTCGAGAGAAAGTCTCAAGAACGAAAGAAGATTTGGGTGTCACAGTTAAGAGGGTCATGACAGAAGTGCAGGACAGAGCAGCTGAGATACGAGCAGAGGTAACGGCGCAAGAAAATCGCATCCTTAAAAACATTAAAACCATCCAAACATACCGTGAGCAAAAACTGAACGAATGTGAGAAAACTATGGGTTTGACATGGGAGAAATTGCAGTTTTCACTCGATACAGCTAGAGAGGTTACAAGGAGTGCATCGGATAGTGATTTTCTCTCACTCTATCCCACAATCAGCAAAGACTTGAAATTGTTGGCAGATGAGAGTATACCTAGAGTTGACAACAGGCTTGCATTTCTCAAGTTCAAGCAGAGTGAGGGTGTTGGTGGCATCAGTCTGGGTGAGGTGGTGGCGGAAGGCAAATGGGAGCTGAGTCGACAGTTTGGTAGAAAGAGAAGCGGTCCAGGAGAGTTCGATGTGGCCTGGGACATTGCTGCTCGTAAACCTGATGAGATTGCAGTGCCTGACTACTGGAACAACCGAGTTGTGATCTGCAGCATCGATGGCAACCAGAAAAGCACGATCCCGATGCAAGGATGTAAGTTTTAATTACCGTGCATTGCAATCTTTCAAATTATGCACACGTACATGTATTTCTTTCCCTGTCATTTGTTTTTACTTTACCTCAAAAAGATCTGATGAAACTATTAATCACAGTAAATTTGATGCGAAACATGTTTTAATGAATACCTTGGTTTTCATAACATGGAGATTTTTAAATATAAATACATGGGCAATGTCAAAAATCAAGTTCCCTTGCTGTTTTTCATAAATTAAACAAACACTAGGCATACTGTAAATTTAACCTCATGTTTGATATTGGGTTTTTGCCCTGTCTCCGCATATTTTTAATTAGTTTGCTCTTGTTTTTTCATGAATTTTGTTTGCTCGTTTCATGACATTTTTTCAAAGAATGAAAGAAATATAAGTTTTCCTGATACACTGGTTCACTGGTTAATTTCTCAACTGTTGTCAGGAGTCTTTTATTTTTTTTTTCCTATTATCCCACTGAAAGATACAAAAGGGCAATTATCGAAAGGCTTAAACATCAATATGTACATGATACCTTAAAACACAGTGATATCCCTAATATGTACACGTACAAATGTACATGTATATTTGACAATGTATATTTTTTTGCCAGGGACACATTAACTATCACTCCAATTCATTTTTGATATTTTTATAAATTGCAATTCAGATTGAAATTGACCATTTTTGCTTGTTTTTACATCGTGCCCCCTACAGGTCCACTCGGCATCGCAGCTACACGCAGCGACAATCGTTTGGTGGTTGTTGAGGAAGGCGCATCCCATGTGAAGGTGTTCAACAGCGACAACACACTGGCATACGAGTTCCCAACGGTGCCGCCGAGTGAGGTCGGTCAGACCGCGGTTGACCTCCGGAGCGTAGCTGTCAAGAACGATGGTACCATTGCAGTGGGAGATGTGGCGAGGATGGTATTGACAGTGCACAGCCCCACTGATGGTGAGCTCCTTCATACCATACCAGTCAAGATTAAACCTTATTTTCTGGCTTTTGACAGCAATGATCGAGCGATAATAAGTAACTATGAATCACAGACAGTGGATATTGCCGATGGCAATGGTACTACAAAACGTACCATCAAACCCACCATCAATGGTAAACTGGTGAAATACTGCTTCGGTGTATGCACTGATGGCTCAGGTATCTATGTTGCATTGCAAAATGGTGACAACACGGGTCATATCCACCACTATGACCCTCAAGGTGGCTTCCTTCAGTGCATCGCACAGGGTCTGCACTGGCCACGGGGTATCACATTCACATCTGGTGGGCAGCTGGCAGTGGCTGACTGGACCTCAGTCAAAATGTATCACCAGGTGTGATACAACATTGTAATCAATCATCAGTCATTTCGCATCATATGAGGCATGTTGATAGAAAAAGTAAAGAGCGGTCCTATTACAACAATGAATTAAAAGTTTTAGAATATTGATACATCACGTATTATACAAAAAGACCTATACGGTATTGGATTACATGTGTTACCTGTATAATTTTGACTTTCTGATCAATCAGTCGATTTTGTCCACAAAAGTCGGCGGTTGTCTTAATTTCATCAAGTATAATTATAATGGGTCACCTTTTTCAGTTCATTCAAAAGAAAAAAAAATACAAAAAGTAAACATTGAATCAAATCCGGTGATGATTTTTAAAAAGCGTTTAAAAATCAAATTAGGAAAAAACCTAAAGGCAAAGAAGGTTTTTAATTCATGTATATTAACATCCATCCTCTGTTCAAGTACTATAAGGATGAACAAAGTAAAACGCTATTCAAGAGAAAACTTGAAATACCACGATTACAGTTTTGTTTCAATATCAATTCCTCTCGTACGTTAGATGTATTTCGTTTTTCAACAAACAACATACTGGTTCTGACAACTGAGGGTGTCAATGTGATATGAATACAAATTGTAGCCCATTGGCAAAATGATGTTTGTGCACAATAGACGCTCATTGCCCGACTGTGAGAGACTATTTAAACAATGAAACTCCAGAAAACAACAACAAAAATGAATTCGGCCCGAAAGCATAGCAGGCCTACATCACAATAGTTTTGACAAACGTTCATCTTACAACAGCAGATCGAAGCCTTTGCCAAGAAATTGCGACACTTGTAGAGCTAAGCTTGATCGTTCTGTTAAAAACATATTGTAATTTATATTTAACCCGCCTGTAAATACGCATTTTAGGAAATATGATCATCCTATGCTGATTTTGACTTCGCTTATTTCAAAACAAGGTTTTATTAGTTGGTTTCAGTTGCCTCAATGGGTTGAGTTATTTAGAGAAATTTAAATTCGAGAAGAAAGTGGAATAAAAAATCATTCCATGGAAACAAATGCAGTGTTTATTACAACTCATGATGTTAATCATGTGAGCTAGCTCCTATGAAACGAAACATTGTTTTGTTTCTTTAATTAAAACCAGCATAACCTTTAGGTTATTATGTACTGCAAAGAAGTCACGAGAAATGTTTGATGTAATAACTGACAGTTCAATTATATATTTAGAATTTTCTCGACATCTACGATTATATGTTGTGAGTACATTTTAGATTACATGCGACTCAGTTTGTAAATATTGAATACTGAAAATGAGAAGGCCCGATTTGTTACAGGGTTTCAATTAAACCCACGTGATGGGTGCTTGACCAATAGGAATGTATAAGCTTTCCTGGGGATTTTATGACAAGGATTAGCTTTCAATTGAAAAGAAAACAAAAACAGTGTTGGTAAATTTTAAACTCAATGATCAATACTTTATATACATGCATACATTTCTTTCAACTGTCCAAAAAAAAAATTGACAGTTTCCCAAAAAATCTCGAGATAATTTAAAAACTGTTTAAATATGTCAAGTAGAATCAAATTCAAACTTAAATTTGATTGTTCTGTCAAAGACATTTTTTTAATTGCTGTAACCTGCCTGTAAATACACAATTTCTCGAAATGTGATCATTCTCTGTTGATTTGACTTAGCTCATTTCAAAACTTAGTTTTATTAGTTGATTTCAGCTGCTTCATTGAATGGGTTGGTATATATCAAAAACATTACATGAAAACAAATCATCTGATAATTATGGCTCATGATAATCATATAGGCGAAATCCTACAGTGACAAAAAACAGCTTAGGGAAGTTTTAGCTCTTGTTTTCATATTTGCATTGTCGCCAACATACATGTAACACTCGAGTTATCATGAACAGAAATTACGACAATTGTTGTATATATCTTTTAACCAAAAGTCCAATTATACATTAATGTTTTTTTCTCGACATCAACGATATTTTTTGAGTACAATTTGGTTCATATGGTTTCATGAGATTAAGTTTGTAAATAGTGAATACTGAAGTATACGAAAGATGCTAACCTGATTTTTATCAAAGGGGTACATTCAAGCAACGTGATCGGTTTTTGGCCAATAGGAATGTTTTCACTGTCCTAGCTAGGTATTTCATGACAAAGTTCCCAATTGGAAAGGAAAATAGTGTTTTTAAAATAATCAAATGCTACAGCTATAGCTTATTAAACTGTGGTGCATGTTTTGTATGCAGGCTTGTACTTTGCATTTGTGTATGTGTAAGGCCGATACACAGGGCTTCACGACACCAGTACGCGAATGCATGCAATTGTTTTCGTATTGCTACAAACATAAGGTCTATAGCTGTCCCTAGGCGTACCTCACGATACGTCAGACGATCAGACGATCCTCGTGGAGAAAGGGGGTTTAAACCGTTCGGAAAGTGCCTTTAAATGAGCTTGACGACCAGTTATAAAGATCCAATCATTGCCAAGCTCGGCATGAGGGGATACAAATGTTTACAGACACAAAGATGGCAACAAGTAAAACGACAGAACGAACGAAATCTTTTTTGCCTGTAATTGAATTATTTATTTTAGTTGAAGGTATTATATGATTATCAGAGCTATAAGTATAACTTCCATTAGAAGAATTTTTTTTTTTTTTTTTTTTTAATTATATATATTTTTTTTTTATTTTTTTTTTTATTATTATTATTTTGTTTTAATTTTTTTAAAAGAAATTGGGGAAGACTAATCAGCATGGCTAGGAGGATATTTTTTATAAGGAACATTGGGGAAAACTAACCAGCATGGCTAGGAGGATATTTTTTAAAAGGAACATTGGGGAAAACTAACCAGCATGGCTAGGAGGATATTTTTTAAAAGGAAAAATGGGGAAGACTAACCAGCATGGCTAGGAGGATATTTTTTAGAAGGAAAATTGGGGAAGACTAACCAGCATGGCTAGGAGGATATTTTTTAGAAGGAAAAATGGGGAAGACTAACCAGCATGGCTAGGAGGATATTTTTAAGAAGGAAAAATGGGGAAGACTAACCAGCATGGCTAGGAGGATATTTTTTAGAAGGAAACATGGGGAAGACTAACCAGCATGGCTAGGAGGATATTTTTTATAAGGAAAATTGGGGAAGACTAACCAGCATGGCTAGGAGGATATTTTTTATAAGGAAAATTGGGGAAGACTAACCAGCATGGCTAGGAGGATATTTTTAGAAGGAAAATTGGGGAAGACTAACCAGCATGGCTAGGAGGATAT